TCAGTGCTGAAATCATGGTAAGTATGGGTTACTTTTGATTAGACCTAAGATTATTATTAGCTAGCAACTCTATTTAAGATGAGTTTCAAGCTCTTTTTCTTGACCAATGTGATCAACTACGAGTTTCTCGCGGAAAACCCTCCAAACAGTATTTTCTCTTGAAAGAGTAAACAATGAAAAATTAGCCAATTCAACAGCAAATGCAAAAAATCATGGGTAAATAACACTAAAAAACTTGATCAACGTTTTTGAAAACAGGAAAACCAGAACATTAGGAGCCAAAAATGAAGAACAATAATGTAATCTTCTCTACTAGATCAGAGTTATATGTTCTCTTCTTTTCTCCTTATTATTTCTTTCATCATCACCCTTCTGCAAAAAAAAATAAATAAATAAAAATAAAAATTTGGAAATTTCGGTTGGAAGTTAGATAAAGAAGATAAGAGAGGCGTATGTTATGGGGAGGTAGTAGCCTGCGCGTCTGACGTGGAGGAACGGAAAAAGGGAGTGGGGATGGGGAGAGAAGGAAAGGGACTCCCCTTCTCATTCTCCTATCGCGCAATTGCCCTAACCTTGCCCTCCCAATTTTTCTGCCTGCCACTGACTCAGGCTAAGGAGCTAGATATGTCGTGTGATACCATCGGTACAACATTTTCTTAAATTATTTTTATATAGTATATTAATACGTGACTGTTCAAAACATATCGATACAACATATTTAAAACAAAGCAAAGCATTGAAGGTACACTATGTTAATAAGTTTGTACATGGTTTGGTTTGAAAATAGTCATCGAGGGGAAGGTTATTTCAACAATTAGTCGGGTGCATTATAATGGCCGTTTCGTTGTGGAGTTGAACTGCGTTGAGAGAAGCTGGCCATTTCAGTACCGAAAGGTCAGGCTGTTTTATGGAATTGTTTAATTCAGGGAAGTTTAGAATTGACAGAAGTAAGAATTCGCTTCAAATAAGCAGAAAAGCGTCATGATAGTGAAAATATTGCTGCAAAAAATGTTTCTACATCAATTAAAATAAGTGAATATATATCAACTTACTTTCCTTCCGCACCTTTTCTTTTATCGAAGACCAGCAGTCAGGTTTAGCAGCGTTAAAACAACGCAGTAAAGTAGACCCCCTGATTATTGGATAAACAGACGATATATTATTATATTGTGCCATTATGTAAAATAACAAAAGTTTGAGTGCTGGCAGACCTTTGGCCAGGAACACACTACGATTTCGGAACCCGTCTTTTTTTTTTTTTGTTAACCCGTTGTTTACCCGTTTTTGCATAGAAAACACGAACAAAAAAATCGACCGACTTTAAAGTTCGGCCTACTACGAGAACACACGAAAATATGAGCGCGTGATCTGATAAGGGGAGGCGGTGGAGTTTTTATTAGGCTGATTCAGCAACAGAACGGGACTCTCCACTTTAGAAATTCACTCGCTTACAGAAATCACTTCGAAATCAACGTTCTTATATATAAACAGAAGCCCTGTTTGGTATGATTTTCGTGCCGCTGCGAAAGCTATCCGGAATAGTGTGAACATTGCCTAAGAAAATACCATCTCTGCCATCTGCAGCAGTCCTGGCTTAAAGTTTACGTATGGAGGGCAACCGAGAAGCCCTGGGGTCGAGGTTGCGTTTTTTTGGTAGGGCAATACAAAATGGCGGAACATTTCAAAGTCACGTTTTGCGGAGAAGGAATAGCCTATTAAACTGCTGCCTAAAAACATAGCAAGAACAGAAACAATACGACTCGACGGACATCTGCTATTTGTAGAATTTAAGCAGAACAAAACTCCTTTTTATCTCCTGAACTTTTTAAAAAACAGCCAAAGTTGGAAGACGGGAACTCAATAACATCGATCGGGGCAGGCATGCTTTAGTTTGTTTTAAAACTAGCAATTGTTTTGAATGAATAATGAAATAATTATCAGTCTTTGCAGTTTAAACTTAAAATATGCTTCTTCCGACAGGTTTTTTTCAGACACATTAGAACAGGCTTTCTTTATCGTACTTTGAAGCTGACTGAAGTCTATTGTATTCTTCTGCACCCTAGTCCTAAATTTTTTCAATCAATGACCAAATCAAGGGAGGACCTCCTTGTACAAGCCTTTGGCTGTTTGCGTCTCCTCACCACTCACTGTTTCACTGTTTTTTTTTCACTTTCTTTATGACTTGTTTTATGAAAGTGTTCTTGACTTAAACTGTGCATGTATTGTTACGTTATGGTTATTGTTATTCAAGATTAATTAAGATATTGTGTATTGTAATTATGGTACTATGAATTTTATCTCAAATTGCATCTAATGCTGTAATCTTAGTAAGAAGTGGTGGTGTAAATAAATAAATGAAATACCGTATTTATTCGAATAAGCGCCCAACCTCGAATTAGCGCCCACCTCGAATAAGCGCCCATCCTAAAGGCAGAAAAAGTTAATAAGCGCCCAGCCTCGAATAAGCGCCCACCCCACCCCACCTTCCTCCCACTCCCATTCAAACTCAAATTAGCGACCACCCCTAAAACGGAATAAATACTAATAAGAGACTTTGCCGAAGACGGAGTTTTCTTCAAAGTATTTTACAGGAACCTTGCTTTGTTACATCTTCGCGTTCTGTTATTAGCATTTATGGTTTTGTTGGAAAATACACATATTACACTTGCTGAAAATGTTGAAAATTTAATAAGCGCCCAGCCTCGAATAAGCGCCCACCTCGAATAAGCGCCCACTCTCAAGGTCCAAAAATTTAATAAGCGCCCAGGGCGGTTAATCGAATAAATACGGTAAATAAATTAATAAAAGATGATACATAACACCAGCAACTGAAGCCTAAAATCTGATATGGCTAGTAATTTACTCGAGAGGTCACACAAAAAATGAAAAATTAAAGTAAAAGTACCAAGTGTAACTGTAACAAGTTTAAATTGAATACATACCATCTGTAATGGCTGCTTTTGATGGGACAGTACCTTGAAAAAAGGAATGGCAGATTATTCCAGTTTCAAGAGCTACAAAGAACGTCCCAGTTATGAATTTTTGATTACACGGCACCTATCATGCTCCAAAATAACCAGGTAAACGCTAGGTAAACCTCAGTAATGTGATCAACTGAGGTTGGCCGGTGTATCTATTCTGGACATTCTAGTAAGATATATACAGTGAAACCTCTATTAAGCGGACACCTTCGGGACCTTCCAAAGTGTTCGCTTAATAGAGATAATTTATAAATATTGCGCAATGTTTGTTAACGATTAACTCTCAACGGTTACTCTGTAATTTGATAAAATTCCATGTTGTTAAGAGAAAGCTAATGAAGCTGTGCTGTTCTTTGTGCAAAATCTTGAGGTGATTTTTGATTGCGGATGACAATCATAGGGCCGGATATCAGTCTAATGTACAGTTTATTGACAGCCAAATGTATTGATTTATCTTTATTAATCGACTACAGTACGTATTTCAGGGACGTAATCCAATTTGGGGAGCAACGGTGGTGCAGTGGTGAGAGCACTCGCCTCCCACTAATTTGGCCCGGGTTCAACTCCCGGCGCCGACGCCATATGTGGGTTAAGTTTGTTGTTGATTCTTTTCCTTGCTCCGAGAGGTTTTTCTCCGTGTTCTCCGGTTTTCCCCTCTCCTCAAAAACCAACATTTCCAAATTCCAATTCGACCAGGAATCAGGTAGACGAAGAACCAATGCGAGGATGTGCTATACTACTATTGTCAGTTTCAATAGAAATTAGCCAAATACCATTTACTTTAGTGTCCACGTCCGCTTAATAGAGGTGTCCACTGAATAAGGGTTCGTTATAAGGGGAGACATAAGAAGTTAATTTCGGGAACCGGCTTAGTGTCCGCTTAATAGAGGTTTCACTGTATTCAAAAGATGTTATCTTTAAACAGTGCAATATCAGTATTACAGTGCCTTTGATTTACATCGTTGTGGCCCACGATCAGACATGTGGGGTGCCTTCCCGTTATATTGTGGAAAATGTTGCTTTACTTTGTGACGTTGCCACCTGTGCGAATGAGCTGAATTTTTTTTGTGGCCATTTTGTCTTTGGGCCAAGAGAAGGCCATCGACCGTGTCGATTGGTCCTTCCTTTTGCGTACCCTTTTGTCTATGGGCTTTAGTCCCTCTCTTATTAGCTGGGTTAAACTTCTGGGTTAAACTCTTGCGTGAGTTGAACACCACTTTGTTGAACTTTTTTTGGGGAGGTAAGAAGGATCTGGTCGCTTTTGATATTGTGATTCATCATCGTGAGGATAGTGGTTTTCAGTTGGTTTCGTTTCCATCTCTTGCCAGGTGTATCCCCTCCTTGCCCAGTGGATCAAGCGTCTGTGTGTTTCTCCTGGTTTCTTTGTTGAACTTCTGGTGTTACAATCGTTTTGGCGTAGATCCCGTGTTTGTTTTCCACACCTTCATCCCTTGTCTACCCGGCTTTTGCCGCCTTTCTGTGCTTCCTTGCTCGATTCTTCAAAACTTCTTAAAAAAATGCTCGAGAAGGCTCGGGCCAGCCTGTTACCCCCGTTGGGCAAGCAATTGCTTTTTGAGGGGGGGCTCCGGTCGTGTTAACTTGTTGCACAGGCACATGGCTATTGGCTGGTATGCATTTGGTGTATCCTGGTTAAATTCCAGGGTGGTGGGGATGGTCTAAAGAGCCTGGTTTGTGCTGGGCTGTGGCTGTACTGAAATTTCTACCGCGGCGTACCCCTATTTAACTGGGCTCAGTGTCTCTGTCGAGGTGGGTGTCAGCTGGTTGCACAGGCACAGGGCTTTCAACTGGTGTGTATTTGAAGTAGCCTAGTTAAATTCGTTTTCCTGCGCTTGGATGCAGTTTCTTTGACTGTGCCATTTCCATGCAAGCAATAAAACACCCTGTTGCTAATGTTTTCAAGTCATCAAGCAGTTCAATTAGAGGTTGTAGGGCATCTTTTCTTCGAGAAATGGTGTTTTGGATCGTATTTGAGAGACCAATGGCATTGCAAAATTGGGGAAATTGGGGAAAAGGCTTTACAATCGGTGACGCTGAAAATGAAACAAATCCTTACAATGTCCTATTTTTTGCAGCCTAATGAAGAAAGCTTTGCAAGCATGCATGGTGCCTGCAATATTTTTATGCTGGTAAGATTCTGCTTTTCCAGTGAAAAGGGCCATTAAATTAACAATCACTGGGAGAGAGAGACTGACATTTTTTAGTAGCCAGGTTTAAAAAAAAAACACACACACACACACACACACACACAAAAAACAGATATATATGAAGGAATTTTCCCTTACCTTTAGTGTACATAATAGTTACATTGACCTGCTGCGGTCCTTTCATCGTCACGGACCTCTGAGAACTTGAGAAAATGACTTGAAATGTTTTGTTGCCTTCAAAGCTGTTATCCATGTTAATGATACCAATTTTAACTTCCTTGTAAATCTCTCCCGGAGCAAATGCCAGTTGCTCCCCAGCGGCAGCCTTGTAGTGTTTGTTTGGTTCCGCTGTCAAACTTTTCATATCATAGCTTAAGAAAGTACAACACAGACAATAGGATGATAGGTGTCACTATTAATTTAACAAAAAATTTCTCTGTTTCTGACTGGCGCAAATCCCCTGACTGATTCCTCACAACCAGCCAACGTTTACTTAATTTTTGAAGACGTTTGCAATGTCTGATAAAATGACATCAATGCTACAGAGTCATTACAGAAAAAGGCACAGAAACCTAGAAATTCCGTGATGAAGTTGCTCTAGCTCGAGCTAGCTCGGCTGTCTTGGTATACGTAGTGCTAGAGAAAATAGCGGAAAAAATCACACATTTTGCGAAAAAGATAGCAGAACTAATGCCTAAAAACATGGCGAAAAACAGCAAAGATATAACTCAACGTTTGCAATTGATTTTTGAGCAACATCGGCTGGAGTAACCAATCCCTTTAAATATGTAATTTGCCAAGCAACAAACCAATGAAGAGGTAACTTTACATCGCTCGAAGTAAGAATATAAGTTTGTTTTTAATGTATGAAGTATTGTGAATCTATTGGAGGGAGTTATTCGCTGAGGCCGACGAATAACTGGTCCCTACTAACTGGATAAGTCTTCAGATCATACTCAGTCTCATGTAATAATGCTATGAACTCTTAAATTTAAAACTCGTCAACCCTCCGTGGGGTAACATGTACAGGTCATGTACATTCTGACCAAATGGGCACCATGCATATGTACTGCCGTACCGAGGACAGCAAAACACTAAACACGTATTAAGGAGTCCCGTCTGACAACGTTCTCATCTATATCAAGCATAAAATCAAACAATTCCAATTTCAGCACTGTAGCACACGTACCAGCTCCGCGATAACCACTGCCTGGGTGATATGGTTCTGCGCATGCGTAAGGTACTCGGGTGATATCGTGGAGTTGGCAGCCATGGACAGCTGTTTCGTCCTCATTACAACTCATTCGCATGGTATAGCCCCAGGGGAGAGGTCTCAGTTATGATCACCCACCCCGAGGAGTTGGTACGTATTGTTCAGTGCTGAAATTGATAACACTGATTAAAAATACCTCGGGAAAAAAAAGTATAGTCAAGACTCACTTTGAGACTGTTTAGTGATTATACCGGCTTGTCTTTAAACACTGCTCATGGACGCCGACAAAGTTAGCCTGGGACCCGGTTCGTTAGTGGGGAAAAAAGGCTCATTTGTCTTTTTTTCCTCTACCAAAAAGCCTGGTTCGAGACTATAAAAACGTCATTGCCATTTACAAACCACGAACTATACCATAATAAGAATTCAGCTACTTTGGCCGTACCATATTAGGAGCTACATTCTTCTATTTTTCCCTTTTTTAGCATGGACTGTTTCAGTACTTACTTCACTGCAGTAGCGATGGCAAGAAATCCCTGACGGCGCATGCGTATCACTGCCATGCCAGCATCTGCTGGTATTATTACTTGAGCTTCTAGAATCTCAATTGTGACGTTCTTTGCCTCCATTGCTATTGGCGAAATAAATTGTAGTGAGTGCATCAATACATTCTTAATTCTCTTGTATAGGCCTTTAAGAATCGTTAATCAAACCGATCGAGTCTAGCTTACTAGCCTGCCTACGGCCGCCTCCTCCCCTCAAACATGTTAAGCAGAGAGACGTTTATCAGGGTTGCCACTCATCAGAAAGTTAAAAATTCCCTGACTTTTCACCGATTTATAACAGTTTTCACTGACCTTTTATTAATGAGAAACAATCGATGTTTACATTCGCTTTAGCTTTTTTTGCAGGCCATCGATATTTTTCTCTTCATTTTCAACCTCTTTCCGCTTTTCGCTGAAAGAGGAAGAAGGAATTTGGAAGAAAGCATTTACAACGAAAACCACGGACCACAACTACTACATGTGTCAGGCATAGAGTGTTAAAATTGATCGCATTGCTTGCTTTGCAGTATACTTTTCATCTTTTCCGAAAGAAAATACATTTCAAAGTCTCGAAGAAAACTTCTGAACTATAAAGCGGAAAACAGAATTCCCTGACTTTTCACGGACCTTGACAATATCAAAGATTTTCGCAGACTTTTTAACAAATTCCCTGACTTTTCCCTGACCTTAAAAACTTTTCGTTTTTCCCTAACTTTTCCCTGACAGTGGCAACCCTGTTTTTTGTTTGAGAGAGGCGACGGCTGTACTCGGGCTAACTTAGGCCGCAGTTTGAGAAATAATTGGACTTTCAAATTTTTCCTTAAATTAACGAGTTGGTAGCTTTAGGGAGATAAATGCTCTATATTATGCTTTTTGAGTGACATGACATTGAACAAATGTGCTGTTATTCAACTTCTGGCGTGGTTATATTGAACTATTGTGTTTTCATTGAACTGTATGTTTAAAACTACAGAGCGGGAATCCGCGGACTTAATCCCCGTAGCCAGACAAAACTCATGTTCTTAGTCTTAAACCAAATCGGAATGTACTACATAATCGGCCCTCTAACAGACCTTTGGGTCTGGTGGACTTTTAAGCCAGACTAGAAAATCATTTATCTACTTTAAACTAGTGGTAATCGCAGATTAGGAACTGTGTTCGAGCTTTTTTGGGTTTACTGTCAAATGTGATGTTATTTCCTAATAAACTGATGCTGCAAAACGCTTCCTATATTTTTTTTAAAAAAAAAAGAAACAAAACAAAGCAAAACGACTACGAAAAAAAAAAAAAGTCTCAATGTACAGGAGTGGAACCCGAGACATTGGACGTCATGCATTGCGCCACGCAACCAAATTGCTAAGACCATTAGTTAAATTAATTATTTTTATCATTTTTGTGCCCACGAGATAAATTGTTCAAAATGGCGCAGAAAATGCAGACGTACGACGAAATGAGTACCACAAAAGGTCACCCTTTAGTACCACAGGAATCCCAAGATTATGTGTTGCGTTCTCCTTACGTCGAACGCAACAAGAGAGAATAATGGACCAGAGATGGAATCTTCGGGCGTTGGCTGTGTTATTTTAACAGGATGTAATGGCACGAAAGCCTAATTCTTGAGACGTCCGCACATTTTTATCCATTACTTAAAACGTCATCAAGTCCACTGGCGACTGACTGCCTCACAACAAACAATGCAGAATATTTTTATGGCGACTGTTGAATTCTAAGACCAAACAAAAGTTTGCGGACGTCTGCGAAAGCTTATTTCCGATTAATCTCAAGTGTTTCATTGGTCTAAAAATAACTTTGGTGAAATTCACATCTCCTAAGGGCTAAAATGGGCGTTTCTTTCTCTGTCCATTTATTCTGTCTTGCTTAAAACAATTACCCTGCAAAAGGATTCAAGTTATACTTCATTTAATAACCGACCCTTCATCATACCTTCTTTAAAACTCCTGTTCCCAAGTTCTTGAATTTCTTCTACCCTCAGCTTAATTCCAATAAAGTTTAGGTTGCTTATAAAGAACCCTTTTATGTTGGATGTGGAGCCAAGCTTCAGACGGGTGTTCCGGTCTTGATCTACATAACTTTGTGCCAATATCGACAGATTGTCTACTAGTTTGCCATTATGATTTTGATAGAGGACTACGTCGCGTATTGATCCGTGATCAAAAGTAAAAACTATTTGAATCCAAGAATTGCGAGCCGCCAGTTCTCGGGCCGCGCCATAACCGGTGACTATCGCTTCAGCACTGCCAGAATAGGGAGAAATCTCAAATGACCAGCCATACTCGTACTCATCTGTTTGGTCATCAGCACGCAAGCCCGAATTCAGGACCTTTAGATCTTTATCTGCTCCAGTTTTAAAGAGAAATGACACTGTAAAATTCTGACAGAGATATGGATTACTGATGCAAGTACCAGCAAAGTCACCAAGGTCAACTTCTTCTCCTGCGGGCACAAACAGAGACTGGATTCCATCTTCCACCTGAGTTCTGACGCCATTTGGGATTTTCTCGCTTTTGAAAGATTTGTTGGCTGCTTGGTCGTAACCATACAATGCCTGGTTAGCAATTGGATAAAAAGGCCAGGAGTAATTAGCTGTTGAATGATGAAAACAATCTAGTCAGTGGGTCAGTCAATCTGGTCAGTCACTTATTTCAGTTCAGTAACATTTTTCTTTTAATGCACCCTATTAGAACTGTTAGAGGGTCTCTTTAGGCCAGCTAGAAGAATTGACACTTTAAGAAGCGTCCTTTTTTGCTATGGAACTTGACAAATCATTTGTGAAGGACAAGAGAGTGTGAATGACAAAATTACGGCTTCGTGTGGAAAAAATGTGCCTTTCTCCCCAGCATTAAATTAAACTAACAGGCAATGACAATTACCTTTCAAAAACATTTAGGCCAACAAGTTTTCAAAAAACACAGTTGTAGTCCGTTTCAATCTTCTTCAGGTTTGTTCATCCGGCTTCCGTCCATCTGTGTTTGCTATGTAATTATACCTTGCTTTCAATGTTTAAGCACCTGGGTTATTTTTACTGATGTTACAATCAGGTTGGCGACTGTTGCGGGTTCACACGGTTTGAATTTTAATAAATTTCGTGACATATCTCATTTAAGGTGATGTTACACGGGACGATTTTTAGTGCAACACAGCGTTGCAATGCTGGAACAATGTTGTAAACATTCGAAACAATATCGCAACAATGTTTCCCCGCTGTGTTGCGCTAAAAATCGTCGTTGCGAATCGTCTCGTGAAACGTCACCTATGAATGTACAATAATCGGCTAACTGAGCATAAAAGACAGTTACCAGAAATAATTTTTTTTATTATTAAAAAAAAACGTTTTCGTTTCCTTATTTCGTGATTCATGCAACATTCAGAGGAAATGGTTCTTCCAGCATAATTCAAACGGAAAAAACAAGATCAACAGAACTACTTACAAAACATGTGCAAATGTTAATCTAATAAGTCCTGATAAGTAGCGGTCAAAAAAGCATTAGTAGTCTTCACTTCGCTGGCCCTGGCGTAGGTTATTATTTAGGGTGATAAACTCATAAACTGGCCCACAGAACTTGATATAACAAAATTACAAGAGGCTTTCTATGATCACCGAAAAAAAAAATCGTCTTAGGAATTAAATTTGCCTTGTTGTTATCTATTACCTTTGGATAAAAGTATAAAACTACTTGCAAACGGACGTAACAACGCCCAACAATGTCATTTGGAGTTGTTGCGTCCGTTTTCACGTAGCTAAAAGTTTGAACGGTTTCAAACTTTGCCGGGCAACAACTCCCAACAACACTTAACAACGTGCAACAGGGCCGTGCGAACGGACCCAACATGTAACATTCAACAATGTTGGGATCGAGTTATTGGCCAACAGTGTTTTCGTCTGTTTGTACGGGGCATACTGTAAGGGCTAAGATGGAAGCTGTTGTCTCACGTGAAAATCCTGAAAAGCAAACCCCGTGACAACGAAAACGCCTTCTTTTGAAAACGCAGTAGTGTGGACAGGGCGTTAAAGCTTTGACAACAAAAGAACGTGTTCTACTTTATTTACATTAATCATATTAAATCATCAAAAAATACCCCAGGGGGGTGCCGCCCCAAAGGGTATGATTTTTACGCCGTTTTGGTCTGAAAACGAGTATAGTCTTCGCCCATTTTGGTCTAGAATTAGGTATGGTTTTCGAGGAAACTATGAGAGTGTATGAACGTATTTATCGTTTCAGTTCCAAATGAATAAGAAAGAAAGAGAAATACGCGAATTCGCAGTTTAAGAAATCTATTTGGTTGGCCTTTATATCTAAGTAGTTATGACATAATTTCTTGGAGGCCAGGTCTAAAACGGGTGTAAAACTATGACATTTTTTGTTCTGAATTGGGGTCAGGATTTGGAGAAGTGTTCGGCACAGCCCCACCAAGAATTCGCAGGAGTACCCCCCGCCCCCGGGAAAATACCAATTACGTCAGTGATGATATAATGAAGTAACAGAACAAAAGATCGCGCAACACAATAAGCTACAATAGAACACCATGCGTTGATAAAATAATAAAGAAAACTTGTGAATCACGAAATACAGGAAAACCTCCCCGGCATGGAGACAGCATTGTAAGTCTAATACGTATTTGACCAAAGAAAAACAAATTTGAATTCCCAAAAAATCTCATCAGATCTGTAACATCGCATTCCGAAAACTCAGGGCGAAAAGAATCAGAACTGTTTTCTATACGGTCACGCCACAGGTTCTATATGCAGAGATCAAAACCAGAGTGTACAAAATATATACAGTCGAACCTTAACTGGTCGAACCTCTTGCAACATCGGAATCGTTTACTAAATAGCCTCCCTATCACTAGTCCGGCATAACGGCTAAAACTAAAGTGCTCAATACTTGTTAACTTTTTCGTTTCGTGCATTTAGCTTCTTTTTGATGTACTATAGTTGATTGTGTTACGTTGTTGCGAGCATTTTAGCTCATTTTGAATGTATAAAATGTAACCTTGTTCCCAGTTTTACAAAGTGGTCTGTCCTATGTTACATTACATCTCTTCGATCCTCCTTGACATCTCCTTTCACCGATAACCTTTGCAAAGACAGTGGCTGACAGAAAAGTTCCCTCTTAGGCCCACATCCTTAGCGTGTTTTCAGCTTTCAAGTAAGATATACAAAATTTTTATATCGATATACATTTGTGATTGTGAAATGTAAATTGGGGCTCGCCTGTTATACTTTACCTGCATATGTTCCACCAATGAATACAAGGGCGAAGAAAACCCTCATCTCTTTCCGCTATCCCCGCTAAACAGAGTACACAAGAAAATGTAGTGCTAAAAATTCAAGCACGTGGAATTGTAATTGATCATCCTTAATGTGAGGTTTAGGGCATGTCGAACCGGGGGGAAGGGGGGTGGTGGAGGGAAGGGTCTGGGGACTTCCCTTAGTTGGCAAGATAATGGCAACAATGTTAGCTTAGGAAAAGCTGTTTGAATGCAGAGATCCACGCGACGCGTAAATATAACTGGCTGGTTCCTCTTGCCGGATCTCTAATCCAAGAGTTGCTGTAGCCAGTCGTCACTTAAAGTGCCGGTAAAATAAAACCAAACTGAATGCAGGGCTGGCACTACAGCAAAGGGCTGATTCAGGTTATAGGCCTATAATAAATCAGCCCTTTGTCGTAATGCCAGCCCTGCATTCAGTTTTGTTTTAATATTAGCATTGTTGCTGTGAACTTGCTGATATTTTACATATTTTGGAAAAAGTAACAGTTGATGAAATGTAAAGAAGCAAAGCTGTGCACTTAAATTAAGCCCTGCTTTGAATTTAGTAGTCAGAGCAAAGATTTATATCAGACTTCTAATGAGACCGGCTGAACTGTATTGATTCAGGTAGCGTGCCAGCAGGCTCTCCACCACAAGTGGCGAGAGAGCGCACGAGTGAGTCGCGAAGCCGCGAGGGGCGGAGGAAAAGGAGAGCTCTCCCCTCTTTCCCTAGACTACGAGCAGTCTCTATTTTTTCTTGGTCCGTCGAGCAAAACGCCTGAGACACGCAAATGACCACGCGCGTGACTGAAGTTCCCCACCTCGCGCACTTGCGTCTCCTTTCGTGTGCGGCTCTCGAGTGACTTCTCTCGACTCCCCCAAGTGGAGAGGTTGCTCATAGGCCATGCAAGACCGACTCTTAAGAAAGAAAGGAAAAAAAAACTAGTTGGTGCTAACGAACGCCCAATGCGTCTTGCTAAAAAAGAAAAAAAACAGAACATTAAAATATCATTTCTCGCTGAAACAGATGACCTGACATGACCTAAACTTCGAGCCAAGACCCGAACCAAGGGTCTTGGTCTTTTCCTTTTTGAAAGCCATTGCTCGGGGAACCGGACCCATAAGGGTAAACCTTGACCAACAGCAATAGGGTGTTTTTAAACTCTCTATCTCTATCACCTGTCTATTGCTGCTCTCTATCGTTTCTGAGAATTTCTCAAAATAGAAAATTGCGTGAACTACTAGAAAATGAGAACCTTGGTCACGTGGTACTATTTCCATTGCAGTTAGCCCCCCTATAGCCGTAAGACCCTACTACGGAATTATCGAAGGTTGTATCGATAAAACAGGAAGGTTAAACATGTTGGAGTGGTTTTTACTGACTAGCTACAGCGTCCCTCTGACCAGTGTGATAACGCTCGCAACTTTGGTCTTAACAACAGTGATCGTCTTCAGACTGTTTTCCAAAAGGCAAGTAAATGATTTTGGGAACAAATTCGTGGTGATTACAGGCTGCGACACTGGGTTCGGTCACGAAACAGCCATTCGCCTGGATAAGATGGGAGTTCATGTGTTGGCGACTTGTCTGACAAAGGAAGGGGAACAGAATTTGAAATCAGAGACGAGCGACAGGCTTAAAACATTTCAGATGGATGTGACAAACTCGCAGCAAATCAAAGATATCTACGAGAAAGTAAGGGGAATTTTGCCCTTGGAACAAGGTGGGTGTAAGCGGCTGTAGGTTCTAGGACTTTGGGCGCTCGATTTATGCAAACTTATGCTTACGGTTTGATTGTCCCGGCGTTACCACTCAAACCAAATCGAACGTTTTATTAATCGAACTTAATCGAACTCAGTCGAGTTTAATCGATTGATTACGTTCGATTAAGTTCGGTAATCAAACACAATAGAACTCAGATCTCACAAAAACGTTTTAGGGGGGTGTTTACGTGAGAAAACTCGCACCGGCGCGAGTTTCATACCGGAATGACTTTTTGATTTCGTAATCGAACCCAAGCGAACTTTGAGCGAAGTTCGATTAGGTTCGATGGTTGAATCTGGCATACATTTGATTACAAATGGGACTTTATACAGGAAAATTAACACGGAACGAAAAAACGGATTTACCGAACGTCAAAGGTGAAGTCAAATCAAATGCGCGATAAAGACCACCTTGGCACACCTTTGCACACCTTTGTACACCTTTGACGCGAGACAAATGTTTACCTTTGCCTACGGTTTCAGGCGAGTCTTCAGGCGATAAAGGCCGTTTTTGTCACGCCTTTAACCCTTACCTTTGACGCGCCTCAAAGGTATATTTGATTAGCATCGTCAAATATGTCTGAGATTCGAGCCAAAGGAGTGGCAAAAAGCACACTTCGCGTGAATTCCGCGTTCGCCTCGCGCTTCAAGCGAATGCGGCGTTATTGCCTCGCTTGGCTCATAAGCGCTTGATATACAGGCTAGACCCCAACTTGAGGTCTCAGTCAAATTCAATTGCGGCTTGGATACCGTTTAAAAAGGTGGGCAGATAAGAGACTGAGTTCTTAATCTTGTAATTTATTGTCGTAAACCTCATTAGTTTAGAAAGTTGAATAATGCCGATTAAAACTTTTTTAAACGCATAGATAAAAATGATTTTTTAAAACCTTTTTACGATTTATTGTCTAAAGTACTTAATGAAGTCAATGAACAATCATAATGACTGCTGGAAATTTTTAAAGCGCTATAACTGTAAGATAAATGCTTTTGTGACGGACGGCAACCTGAAAAATAGTTTAAAACACTTCTTTCACGAAAGTCAGTGCTGAAATCATGGTAAGCATGGGTTACTTTTGATTAGACCTAAGATTATTATTAGCTAGCAACTCTATTAAAGATGTGTTTTAAGCTATTTTTCTTGACCAATGTGATCAAATACGAGTTTCTCGCGGAAAACCCTCCAAACAGTATTTTCTCTTGAAAGAGTAAACAATGAAAAATTAGCCAATTCAACAGCAAATGCAAAACATTATGGGTAAATAACACTAAAAAACTTGATCAACGTTTTTGAAAACAGGAAAACCAGAAGATGAGGAACCAAAAATGAAGAACAATAATGTAATCTTCTCTACTAGATCAGAGTTATATGTTCTCTTCTTTTCTCCTTATTATTTCTTTCATCATCACCCTTCTGAAAAAAAAAAAATAAATAAATAAAAATTTGGAAATTTCGGTTGGAAGTTAGATAAAGAAGATAAGAGAGGCGTATGCTATGGGGAGGTAGTAGCCTGCGCGTCTGACGTGGAGGAACGGAAAAAGGGAGTGGGGATGGGGAGAGAAGGAAAGGGACTCCCCTTCTCATTCTCCTATCGTGCAATTGCCCTAACCCTGCCCTCCCAATTTTTCTGCCTGCCACTGACTCAGGCTAAGGAGCTAGATATGTCGTGTGATACCATCGGTACAACATTTTCTTAAATTATTTTTATATAGTATATTAATACGTGACTGTTCAAAACATATCGATACAACATATTTAAAACAAAGCAAAGTATTGAAGGTACACTATGTTAATACGTTTGTACACGGTTTGGTTTGAAAATAGTCATCGAGGGGAAGGTTATTTTAACAATTAGTCGGGTACATTATAATGGCCGTTTCGTTGTGGAGTTGAACTGCGTTGAGAGAAGCTGGCCATTTCAGTACCGAAAGGTCAGGCTGTTTTATGGAATTATTTGATTCAGGGAAGTTTAGAATTGACAGAAGCAGGTTCATGCTATAGCGGAAAACGTTTCGTACCGACACGAAAATCTATCCAGTATAGCATGAACTTCTATACGATATTTGACTCAGCCACTTAAGAAATTCACTCGGTTACAGAAATCACTTCGAAATCAACGTTCTTATGTGTGAACAGTAGACCTGTTTAGTATGATTTTCGTGCCGCTGCGAAAGCTATCCGGAATAGTGTGAACATTGCCTAAGAAAATACCATCTCTGCCATCTGCAGCAGTCCTCGCTTAAAGTTTACGTATGGAGGGCAACCGAGAAGCCCTGGGGTCGAGGTTGAGGTTTTTGGTAGGGCAATACAAAATGGCGGAACATTTCAAAGTCACGTTTTGCGAAGAAGGAATAGCCTATTAAACTGCTGCCTAAAAACATAGCAAGAACAGAAACAATACGACTCGACGGACATCTGCTATTTGTAGAATTTAAGCAGAACAAACTCCTTTTTATCTCATGAACTTTTTAAAAAACAGCCAAAGTTGGAAGACGGGAACTCAATAACATCGATCGGGGCAGGCATGCTTTGGTTTGTTTTTAAAACTAGGAATTGTTTTGAATAAATAATGAAACAATTATCAGTCTTTGCAGCTTTAACTTAAAATATGCTTCTTCCGACAGGTTTTTTTCAGACACATTAGAACAGGCTTTCTTTATCGTACTTTGAAGCTGACTGAAGTCTATTGTATTCTTCTGCACCCTAGTCCTAAATTATTTCAGTCAATGACCAAATCATGGGAGGATCTCCTTGCACAAGCCTTTGGCTTTTTGCGGTCTCCTCACCACTCACTGTTTCACTGTTTTTTTCACTTTCTTTATTAGTTATTTTATGAAAGTGTTCTTGTTCAACTTAAAACTGTGCATGTATTGTTCTTCAAGATTAATTAAGATATTATGAATTGTAATTATGGTACCATGAATTTTATCTCAAACTGAATGTAATGCTGTAATCTTACGAGTGGTGCTGTAAATAAATACATAAAATAGATAAATAAATAAAAGATGACATATGACACCAACTAGTGAAGCCTAAAATCTGATATGGCTAGTAATTTACCCGAACGGTCACGCAAAAAAAAGGAAAAATTAAAGTAAAAGTACCAAGTGTAACTGTAACAAGTTTAAATGGAATACATACCATCTGTGATGGCTGCTTTTGATCGGACAGTACCTTAAAAAAAGGAATGGGGAACACATTAGTTAAAGATAGGTTTGGCATTCATTGTATTGCTCTTCTACCACAAAGAACGTCCCAGTTATGAATTTTTGATTACACTCATCTTACTCCAAAATAACCACGTAAACTTCAGTAACGTGATCAACTAAGGTTGGCCAGTGCATAATCTATTCTGGTAAGATATGTGTTCAAAAGATGATATCTTTTAACAATGCAATATTAGTAGCACAATGCCACAGGTGATTTACAAAATATCTGCTGAAGATGGGCTGCACTGCTCTTTGCAGATCAGACATTTAGAGTTCGACATCGTTGTGGCCCACGATCAGACTTGTTGGGATATGTTCTGGGGTGCCTTCCCGTTCTATTGGGGAAAACGTTGCTTTACT